TGAATCATAAAGCTGTTAGCTTCTCTAGGAGAGGGGGTAGTCTGGACACTTAAGTAACCTGGACACAATAATCATGGAGTATACTCAGATGTGATCACCATATCTACCTCTCTAGAGCAAAGGTTTTTGGTGTCAGAATCAACCTTAGGAGCATTAGATAAGGAATTACTTTTGCACTGGAAACATCAGAATCCATAGATGGTCTTCTTGTTTCAGATACACCATTTTAATTTGTATCTGCAATTTTTTTTGTCACAGTCTTTGTGAAAGACCCAGTGTGACTACCCTTGTTGGCACTGCATGATGATGGTTGCTTGCAGGCCAGTTGTGCTTATGCTTGAAATGCCACAGTGTTTTTGAACTGAAAACTAGTGACCTTGAGTTAAACTCCTTTTGCTCAACCTTGGGAGGCTATTTTGAAAGTGTTTGTATTTTTATTTCTGTGTACCTGTTCCTGCCTGAAAGCTGCCCCACACTACTGTAGGTCCTGTAGCCCTGCTTTCTCAGTCTCTCCGGTGCATTTTATAAAGTCCTGCCAAATGTGAGGCACTCTGATATGATGGGGAAGGAGATGCATGGGTGAAATAATAGACACAGGCCTAGGAAAAGTTTTTAGTAGGTTGTTCTTTTTTAAGACTGCCCAGGACAGCCACTGTCACTCTGGTATTTGTTATATTTGTAATTCTCTCATTCCCCTATGAGTCTTGGAAGTCTTTGGCTCAGGATTCAGGTTTAAAGCTTTCTTCTGCCTGAGCTGGTAGAAAGCAGCTCAGCTGAGTGAAGAACAGGCCTTCCTGGAGCTGTGTTTTTCCCTACTGAGGTATCCATAAGGTTGCAGACCTGTGAGACTTGACCTGACCTGACTCTATCCACAAACCAGAGGGTTTGGGTGGTAGCTGGGCTGCTCTGTGTGTAGTGAATTAATCTCAATTGAAAAGCACTTAAATTCATGATCTATCATGATGCTTGATACCCTGTGGCATTTTAGGATGAGGAATAATTTTAAAAAACACTACCAAAAGAAAACAGTTGTGTCTTTTCTTTTTCTTTCAAAGTTTGGATGTTAAGAGCAGTTTGTTGCTGTTCTTTCTGTATGATGCAGAGCTGCTGTGCACTTGCACAGATTGCACTGCATGGGCTAGAACCTAAGCTTAGGCTTCTTTAGGATCAAGGTTTATTACAGGCTGATACAAACTTTTACAGAAATATGTTGCATTCTCTAATGCTTTGAATTTTGTAACAGATGGCGGGGGACAAAATAGAAGCTAGGATCCTATGTCTTGTCCATGAACGCAAAGTCATTCTGGAGCTTATGCTGGAGCGTTACCACTATACTTTCTGTTGATGGGCTCCTGATCAATACTCTCAGGGCACTTAGATGTCATTTAATGGTATTACTAGCAGAAGTTTTCTGTATATTTCTGTGGAAATCGATTTTAGTGGTTTGCATAAAGTAATTTAAGTAGTTGTATTGGAAAAATGGTTTTAAAGTCTCATCAATTATTAACTTTCTCTCTGTAGGCCACCTTATGTGTCTGTACTTTGCTGTACTTATATGGGTGGATATAAGTGAAAAAATAATGTTTCATATTCTGACATGCTGAGTTTTGTTTTTTGTTTTTTTTTTTTTTTTTTATGTACTGGGTTCTTGGAACTTTTTCCTCAAGAAACGAAATGTAGGGAGCTGCTATGAGGAACATGATGTGATTGATGAGTTTGTTATGTTGTACTTGTTCTTTTACCTTTCCTCGTTTTCCACCTTACTCCCATCCCATTTCTCACCAGGCTCTGCAGTGGTTTTCCACCTGTCACTTCTAAAGTAAATTAGAAAGGCCACTCATAATAAACAAAGTTTCTTTGGCTTGTTTCAGAAAGGAAGAAGTTGAAGGAACAGATTTTTTTTCCTTTTTTTCCCTTTTTTTTTCTCCCATGCAACATTTCAGTCGGCAAGTTTTTCCCTTCGCTTTGACAGTGACCAGAGACTTCAGAGGATTGTCATCAGAGTCTGAACAATGGCAGCATTTAGTTTTGTTGTCCTTCCCATGAGTCTTCTGGATAAGTACAGTCAGACCCTGAATAAGTTTGAGTCCTGTCAAAGTCCTTCTCACAGTAGTTCCCCAAATATATACTGTTTTCTACAAAATTCTACTTTGATCCTTTGATGTATGGAGTATCCTTTTTCTTCAGCAGAACCTTCCTTTGACAATAATGAAAAGTGTGCGTTTCTATGCCAGGTGTAAGATAAAATAGCCAGACTTATGGCCACGGAAAGAAAAGTTCTTTGTGTTTCAAACACGGGTTGTTGAGGGGATCGGATGCTCGTGCTGGGTGTCCAAAGCAGGTTATTCGCCACTCGAGAGCTAAAGAAGGTCTTCTCTCTGTCTGATCTCAAGGGAAATACTACTGCCTTGGGGACAGCTGGCTTCGCTGTGCCTGGGGCTGTGGCGGGAGTAGGGCAGGCAGACGACTTGAAGGTGACACTTGAAACCTGAAGACAGGTTGGGATCTGCAGAAAAGCTTTCCTGAAAAAAATCTCACCAGGGTTTTTCAGTATTCTTCTCAGCTTCTGTGTCTGGCTGGAATTGTCCTCAAGTAGCCATTCTCATTATCTCTTTCTGCTCTTGAACTCATTGTGTGCGATGAATTTTGGGCAAGTGGCCTTCTCCCACTAAGTTGGGATTGGACTTTTATTTTTGCAGCAGATGGAGTAAGAAAACAGCTCTGACACTTTACCTCCGGAATAGCTGAGCCAGGTAACTTGTATGTTACTGTACAAGTGAGGTTTGGCTTTTCCTTTCACCTGAAGAAATAGCATGAAGGTGCAAGAATAGTGGGCAGAGGGATTATGAGCCTTGAACTTAATCTGAGATAGTTTGAAGTTTCCCAGGCTCTCTAGGACTTCTTTCTTCCCCCCGAAGGAGGTATATTCTTTTTATAAACATGCATCATCTGACTAGGGTATTCTGGTTTGAAAAATAAAGTAAAATAATGCTAGCCAACCATGAACTTTGTGTCAGTCAGAGCTGGAGGGCTGCAGAGAGTGAAATTTCTGTATCGGTTGATGGGAGTAGGAGATGGACCCCAAAGCATGGTTGGTCTGTATTTTTAAATCCCAAACTTGTACATAAAGTACAAATTTGCAACTTTTTGGAAGCAAGGGTATTTTGTAATATGTCATGTTGGAGACAATAATATGAAATCCTTTTGGTAGGCTGGCTGGCAGCCCAGCATGGTAGGTAGCCTGGGATCCAGACAGTTTTCTGATCAGTCAGGGACTGAGGATTCCTCCAGACAACATGATCTGCTGAGGCAATGAGCTGGTGACTCTGCTTGACTGATCAGCTGCTGTGCATGACCTTGTTCACGTCTGATAACATAGGCATGTTTTGTACCTCTCTTCATCCTGCTTTACTCCCAAAGATTAATTCTGAGGAGGACTTGAGGAACCACATGCTTTGTAGTTTGGGGTTTAGTGATTTTTCATAATTAAACTTCCAGCAACGTTCCTTTCTCATTGTGTTACATCTGTCAAAACTTCATCTCACTTATTACTTCGGGCGTGCCTGAAGTACAGGATTGTTTAGTGTAACTGTCCCCACGTTTTTAAAGGTAGAAACACTGGTGGGAAATAGACCTTTATAACTGGAAGCAACTTTCTGGGTCATCAGATTCTGTGTTCCCAGCCTGTGTCAGATTTGCTGCTAGTGGTTCCCAGGAAGGCCCTAATATACAAGGAGAAAAATTCAAATCCTACTCGGTGACTTTGGAGGATTGTTTATTCGTATGTCTGGGGAGAAAAGAAGCTATCTGTCACTTAAGTGTATATTAAGTCGTTATTTCCAACTTTTTCCTGGAAATAATTAATTTCATTTCACACCTAAATAATTATTTATCAGCCTTTACTAGAAATACATATTTTTTGTGGTGCAAGAACCGGAAGATAAATCTGATATGTTTGTCATATCAGGAAGGGCATGTGAGGTGCATAATACTAAATACCTGTGTCACAGCAAACTTTTATGGAAGTCATTTGGATTCTAGAATTTTAAAGATGCAATTTTGCTTCTTCCATCTCATGTGAATGTCAATTTAACAATAGTGTGCATCTTGTAGGAAGAGTGGTCTCTAGAACAAGTATAAAGATCAAGTATGTTTCCTATTCTTAATTTTTCATCTTTTCTTTTGTTATTCTTTTGGTACCATCACTTCCAGTCTTCATTGTTAGTCACTAAACAAGAAAAAAACTCTAACTTCTTAGGATAAGTGAACAGTATACTAGAAATACATTTGCCAAAATTGTTGGTACAGCTCTTAGCAAGAGATTTTGAAATGTATCATCTTCCACCTACAGTCAACAGGAACCTCAGTATGGATGTACCTTAAGAGCTGGATCTCTGCACCATACAGGCTTTGAAGCTTTGGGGGTGATGGAGGCAGACAAATGCCTTTGCATTGATCAGCAATTGCAATGTTCAGCCAGTTGGCTGGGCTGTTATTTCAAGAAGAGATGAAAGGCATGTAGCAAGTACTGGACTGTGACAGCACTGAGTTTTTCAAAAATGTCTTGAGTGTGTCTTTAATGAATTTTGTGTACATATGTAACTATTATTCTTTAATTGTTCTGGATTCAATCAGTAATACTTAGGAGAAGAGCTGTGCTTCCAGGTAAGTTTTACAGCACTGGTATGCAAAGGTTTCCTTTGGGTTCATGGCACACTGTGAATCATCAAGAAGCTGACTGGCACTTAGATACATTACATCTTAAAACTCAAGAATTTTAAAAATATTTTTTTAAATAATTATTTAAAATAAAATATTTCAAATATGTTAAGCATCACATTTTTCATAAAGCATGATTTGCCTATATATTTGTTCTCAGGCTTAGTTAAGTTTATGTTGTATATACTGTCCTGTCCTGCATGATAAAGCAGTTTCTGTCAATTGTAACAGGCACTTTGAAAGTTGTGGCTGATAATGTCTTATGCACTCTTCATTGGCAGGTTCCAGTTGCACACTGTTTTGGGCCTCCAGGACATTACAAAAGAAAGTTTTGCACTGTGTGCAGGAAGTCACTAGAGTCACCTGCCTTTCGATGTGAAGGTAACTTAAAAAACCCTACTTGTATAGCCATCTGTGTGTTATCCAGTAACACAACATTTTGCCTTTGTTGCATACCTTGAGGGTATGTGTATACACACACACATAGGTCCTTACCGTGTTTGAGAGATTTTCATCCACTCATTTATCTTAGAAATGTGTACCTCAAATTAAGGAATAATAAAGCAATAACCTTCAATGAACCACAGAATTTGTCAAATGTGTATGCTCTTCTATATTTCCTCCATTTTACTTTGAGCAAGTCTGTGGTGTTATGCATTGAATCCATGCTTGAGATGTGCAAAGAATAAGCTACTACGGCAAAAGAAAGACTTCTGTTGAGGTAGTTTGTTTCTGTTTCTGGTGGAAGCTTTTGATAAAGGGAATCATCAGGTATTCAAGTTTCTAAACCCTCCTCCTTTCTACAGAAGAATGGAATATAACTTTCATGTGTTACTGGTCTCAGATATCTGTTGCTTGTATTGGGGACAAGGTGCCTTCAATGGAAAGATATTTGAAAATATTATTTGTCAAAATAGTACTGCTCTGAGTGTTCTGACATGGATTCTCTGAAAAAACAGTAATTAAATCACCCAAACACAAGAATTTTTATTTTAAATACATGAGCACTTGACTGATTTTGACGTTGGGCAACTCTTTAATTCTCCCTTGTCTCCCCTGTCTTGAATATCTAGTAGTTGTCATTCAGTTGATGTTGTAAGGTTGAATAGAATTTAGTATTTTGAATGAATATTACCTGTGAATGTTTAAAAAAAAAAAAAAAGATAGTCTGCTGAGAGAAGAACCAATTCTGTAGGGGTTTGAGATGCTTTCAAAACTGTTGTTATACTAAAGATAATTTATTTAATATAGTCACCTATATGTATGTGTAAAAGAAGCATTTCTCTTTGATCAGGGCGTTTAGATTTACTATGGTGCAGTGGTTTTGTTTCTGCTTTTGGCGAGTGAGTTTAGATTCATTATACAACTATGTTCTTCTGACTAGTGGGAATCTGTCACTTAATATAGATACCATGTGCACTGAATGATTTGTTGGGATGGTCAAAGAGCTACAGATACCACAGAGTCTTTTCTGATGATCTGTCTGAATAAGCCTTAGAACTTTTGTGGCATGAGGTAAACATAGAGAATTTGAAAAGAAAATTTTCACTAGCTATGTCCTTTTAACTGTTGAAAATAGCCTTAGTTTAGTGATGTATTCTAGTTAAAGCTTTCTAAATTTTGCTTTCATATTCTTACTCTCTTGATTCTACTGTATTAGCTTTCTAAATTTTGCTTTCATATTCTTACTCTCTTGATTCTACTGTATTAGCAGTGTACCCATTGCAAGGGAATATTTATTTTTTCAGACAGTTTAATGTAAATTGTTCTTAAACAAGAAAAGTATGACATTGCATGTTGTATTTAGGTGTTACAAAGGCCTGGACTTTTTTTTCGGGTTCAGTGAAGGTTCTGAATTATGTTCCTTGCATGGATTAAACAGTTTTCTTGTTTTGTGTAATATGACTTGTTTCCTATTCCATATTCTGAATACCAGTAAGTCTACAGCTTGTTTCTCTGATACTTTTCCAAAATGTAAAAAGTGCAGCTGAAGTTCATAAAATGCACAAGATTCTTTCTTTACTCTTCAAAAATACTTTCAGAATTTGTTTTCGAAGTCAGCTGTTTTAAGCTGTAGAGCTTTTAAATCCAGATGGAGATGTTGAATTTCCTTCCTTTTTTTGCTTACTTCTAATGACTTAGCTTAATAGTACAAGTTTACTCTTGGTTATGATGTTCTCTTTTGATACAGAAATTTAAAGAACTTTTCTGGAATCTTTGCCATAATTAAGATAGAAAAGAGGGTTAAGATGAAGTTACTTTTTCTAAGCAAATTATTAACATAATTAGATGTACTTTTAAAATAATTTTGTTTTGGACTCTTCATACCATCCAGTAAAATAAATTTTCTTGAGAGGCAATGAAAAATTTTCAGACAAGTACTAAACACTATGGGTGCAGGTAGGGCATCTGTTATAAGAAATGAGCATGCATGTATGCTAAACTCTGGTGAGGTAAGTACATACACTTCATTGGCAAAAATTACAATATTTGGACTCCAAATTCTGCTGACAATTACTAATTGTTTTGGACAGCTATTTTTGCTATAGACTTCATTGGTAACAATTGAACCTGGACTTGTGATGGTGAGAGTTGCTCTAATTTCTTTTTAAGAAGAAGGGTTGGAAAGAAAAAAAGAAGAAAGGGAGAAATCCAAACATTTTTTTAGTGTTGGATCCTTTACAGAAGTTCCTTATTAAGCATCAGCAGGGATCAGCAGATTTACTGGGGGGAGGCAGGCAGTTAACATCTAAAAGGTGATTCTGCCAAGTTTATATATCTGAAATTAACCAGCTTTGGTTTTTGGCAATTATAAAGGAATTCATAGCACTTTAATGACTAGCTTGAATAGAAAACTATCATTCTGTTATGAGTCAAAGAATTGTGTAAAATATGGAAGGGCTGGTAAAGATGAATCTTCTTTTTGTAGGCCCTCTGATTTGGCTTGATCTTTACATACTAAAAACTTCATCTTTCCTATCAGTGGGATAGCTATCTAAAGGGTTTAACTCCCATGACACTACTGCCCTTCCCATGCACACATTCTGAGTTGAAGTTGCTGTTAGAAGCAGCACATGTGAATTAAACCAAGGGAGAAGAACCCACTGTGTTCTTAGAAAGTATAGCAAAGGCAGTGTGTGCCTGTGTTAGCAGAATTAACAATAAAAACCCTAATGCTGTTGTTAATTCATTGAAGCCATAATTTGGTCTACAGAAACTTTTACAATTAGTGGGGGTATGACTCCAGGCATCTAGCTTGCCTGATAGATGAATTGGCAAAACCGTAAAACATTCTTGTTGTATCTATGAATATGGAGAAATATGAATGGAGGAGGGACAGTGTCACACCTCATATAAAATCTTTTGACCTCAGTGAAGACACACAGTACAGGGAGCTGTATGTGAAAGCTTGTGGTTGACTTAGCCATGCTAAAAGAGGCTTTGCTTTGGTGTGATGGTAGGTCATGGTCTTCTGCAGGCTTAGCATAAGACAGTGTTAGTGCTGATCACCTTTTCTAGAGCCCAGAGAATGATTTCAAAATAAGGTATTATTCTCTATATAACTTAATACTGTTTTCAGAATACTTTCAGATAATGGAGCTAATGTGCAGTTGCCACCTTCCAGGTTACAGTCTTCAGATTTTTGCAGTGAGCTTGGAACAATAACCTGTTTGAGCAGAACAGAAAAAAATACTTGAAGAATTTGACACTTGCCGCTTACTTTCATTTGCTCAAAAAATCAGATGCCTTCTCAGAGTACTTGTGTACACAAGTCTTTAAAAAGCAGCTAGAGGATAATATCTTTCATCTATCTCTGTCTATGAGTTCCATAGAGAACTTTCCTCACTCTTGCAGTAATGCAGCTAGGTACTGAGATCTTTTAGCTGTAGTGTTTTTTAATGATTGATTGATCCTTTGCAGCACAGCATTTTATCTGGTGGAGGGCTTTTTGTAGATTCTTTGTTCTGTCACATCTATACTTTGTCATCTTTTAAATAATGAAGGTACTTTATCCAAAAACAAGCTTGTCTAAAACTTTATAGGCCTCACTAAAAGCTCCTCCAGCTACAGTATCTAACAAATATTTTGGAAGACAATGTTAAGCTCACTTAGGAGAGTGTGCTGAAAAAATTACTGTTTTCCTTTTCCTCACAGTAAAATGGTGGTTTACCATATGCAGAGGTAGCTTGAACAGATCTTCTCAGAGATTAACGTACCAGTTTATTCTGTTCAGGTTTAAAATGAAATCCATTGAGTGTCACCTGGCAACAGAAAGGATTTATTTCCTGAGTAAGACATGCCTTCTGGCTGTTGCAGTCTCCCTGTGAATGGTGTCCTCCAGCCATTTTGCATGCTCTGACGTCAGGGTGTCTCATATCACTTTGCAAACCCAAGCGGGTCCGTGCTGGTGCAGGCGTGCCGCGTGGGTTGGTGGCTGATCCAACCTCAGCCGCATCTCCCGTGGGACCACGAGCGAGAGGGCCCCGGGGTGCTCCCTGGAGGGGTCTGCTGCTCCCCTCCTCCTCTTTTGGTACAGCGTCCCTTGCTTTGCTGGGGCCAGGGGCTCCAACACACCTCCTCTCTTGTTTCCTTGTGCTTCTGACAGCTCCAGGGATGGAGAGAGGCGCTGTCCATTGGAAAAAGCACCTGCTGTTTTGAACCCACTCGCAAAGTGCCCGCTTGCTCTGCAGTAGGGTTTGGAAAAGGGTTTGTAAAGGGAATGGAGAATTGCATCAGGAAGACCATTACTTTACACTCACTTCTTGGTGGTATTTGGATACAGAAGGAGAACTTTCTTTCTGTTAATGCTTCTAACATTCAGGTTTTTTGGATTTGATTAAAACAAAGTAGACTCCATGCACAATTATAGTGGAGTCAGCAGTGGTTCCTGTGAAACTGAGACAAAGCTGTAATAAGCCAACAGTTGTACAAATTTAACTTGCTGTATTGGAGGAAATATGTCAAGTGCTTGTGAACAAAATAAGCTCAACTGCTGCAACATTTTAACACAAAGGAAATGGAGCAACACACAGGACAGAGCTGATAAACTTTCATTGTCTATATTTGCTGCATGGAAAAGAGCATGAAGGAAAGAAAGTATGGTGCCAAAAGGTAGTGGAGGGGTGTGGAGGGAGAGAGGAAGGGAGGGAGGAGTTGCAAAACCCCAGTGTTTCCAGCTTAAAGAAGTTTTCTTGTTTTCATGCTTTTAGTTTGTGAGCTACATGTGCACACAGACTGTATCCTGTTTGCTTGCAGTGACTGCCGGCAGTGTCACCAGGATGGGCACCAGGACCACGTAAGTGTGGATGCCTCTGCAGCAGAAAGTGGTCAAAGCATTTTCAGTGTGAAAACATGGGCTGGAGGAGGGGATGAGTCTTGACCTTATCTTTTGCATGCTGCTAATTATCAAAGTACTTTTGTTGCTTATTGGCGGGCAAAGAAAATGTGTGACTTCTAAATGTATCACAGATAGCAAGAAGAACTCAAATTCTGACATATTTGTGATGCTTATTCAAACCATGCTGAAAAGTTTGTGCAATGTATAGAACATCCTAATTAAAAAAAAAAAAATCTGCAATCTTATCTGAAAATTTGTATGGCAGAAGCTGGCATGGAACTCTTTTTTTCTATGTGTTGAGCTGTTGGCTGCCTTGCATCCCTGACAAACATTATCATGTTCCTCAGGCTTCCTGCAGTCTGTCTGAGGCAAGACTGCCCAGCTTCTCACTGTAAAATACATTCATAATACTGACCTTTCAAGATTCTTCTTTTTTTTTTTTTTTTTCTTTTTTTTTTTTAATAATACTGGTTTTGGTGGACTGGGAAGAAAAAACACTGTGATAAATTTTTGATTATTTGATAAACTTATTTCAGTGAAATATAGGTTGTTCAAGTTCATATTTATAGTGAGAAGACACTTAATGTCCCAGTCTGTGTTGCTGTTTCCTCAGAGCTGTCTGAATTGTTGATTTTAAAGTTAGGTTGAAGATGCTTCTGTATCTGTTTTGTGTAATGCTAAGTCGTGACATGTTCCCCCAGGATACTTACCACCACCACTGGAGGGAGGGAAACCTTTCTTCAAGCGCTCGTTGCGAAGTTTGCAAAAAAACCTGTGGCTCTTCTGAGGTGCTGTCTGGCATGAGATGTGAATGGTGTGGCATCCTGGTATGTTGTGCTGTTGTGTGTATTTGTGGGAACCATATATATGTGTGTGTGTTTGTGTGTATATATATATTAAAATATATATGAAAATAAATATATATATGCACATGCTTATTTGAACACTTTATATAAATATACTTTGTTTGTATTCTTCATAAATATATACACTATAAATACACTTTATTTATACACTTATATAGATAAATATATACTTACGAATTGGATGAAAAATCAGATTTTTTAAATCACCCCCATTAGTCATTAAAATGAGCAATTCTCAGAATCACAGTTAAACTTTATGTAAATCCAATGGAATTAAAAATTAACAGGGACTAATCATTATACATTTCTGCTTAGAAGCCTGTGGTTACTTTTTCTGTGTGAAATCAGAATTTCTTTCAAATCACATGAGTTCAGCAAGGTCAAAGACTTACCATTCTAATATGGTTATTCCTCTTTCAGTGTAGAATAGTTCTTAACCTGTGTGATTGGGGTTTTTTTTAAGCTGTCAGTATTGGTTTTGGTGTTTTTCCGTTCACGTGACACATGTTTATTCCTGTGCAACATGATATGGTACTCTTCAATAATCTTCATGAAAGCCACAGCTTTTTGCATACTGACACACAGTCTGCTGTGTAGATAACAGCTGGTCTATCCACTTAATGCTAACTCTTACTGAAATATGATGAAAGTGCAAAGTAGCACCAGATGGGGTGGGAACTGAAAAGTATATGTAAGAAGTCATTAATTTGCCGCTTAAGGCAAGATGAGGTACCCTATGTAATAATAATTTAAAATGAAACTATGAGTTTATTTGGTATTTCAGGTATGATTTGAATAATTTAAATTTTTTAAAAAAATATCATGGGTGCTATATTTTTAATTTGTATCATAATTTCTGAAGTGGGAGTTGCTGTCTTTGAGAACAGTCTAACACATGTAACGTATATGGCCACACATACAAAGGTATGCGTATTCAATAATGTCAAACGACCTCACACAAGTGTAAAGGCAGAAAGTAGCCAGTCTTGTTTTGGAATAGAACTCCAAACGGTGTTATCTCTGAATCTGTAAGCGGGTACAACTGTGTAAGAGGCTATTGTTATTTTCAAGCTATTCTGTATAACCTGCCTACTTTTCCCACCTCTCCCAGTAAATATCCATATAGAATGTAAGATCCAGAGTTTGAGACCAAAACTTTAAATTTCCCCGCAGAGCTGCATAAAAACCTTTAGGTTTTAACTGGGGAGGTTTGTAGTAGTTAGTGTTTCTTCACATGTTAAGTCTTCCAATTATTGTTTATACAAAAACTGAATGGAACAAATTAAAATCTAGGGTGAAAAATGGATCACTAATTTCATGAAAGTTTTGCAATACCAGTGCATATTTTGTTATAAACAAATTTGCTTTCTTTGTGTCGCATCAAGTTCTTGTTCTTAATTGATGCTTCTATTTATAGGCTCATGCTGCTTGCTACATAATTGTCACACCAGAATGTACTTTTGGAAGATTAAGGAATATGATTCTTCCTCCAAGCTGTGTGCAGTTATTTTCTCGCAACTTCAGCAAACTGCATTGTTTTCGAATATCAGAAAATTTGCAAACAGAATCAGGTAACAACTTTAAAAGTTGAATGCAACTACTCAATGAGAGTGTTTAACCTAGTGTTGTAATTCACTGAAGCATATGATTCTTAATTTTCCACTGGCTTTTGCAGCAATACTATAACTTCCTGCTATTTCTGAGACAGGATAGAGATATTTAAATGCAGACTGCGTGCACAATGCTGGAACTTCTGTTTACTGGTGCAGGGCACTTTGAAAACTATTCTTTAAATACTAAGCACACAAAAAGTGGACAACCTAGAATCCAGAAATTTGCTTGGCAGATTAGTGTTGTCATTGCAACAAACACTTGCTAATATACACGTTGTGTTTTATTTGGCATATCTTGTATACAGATATTTTTATTTGCCTCTTTGATTAAGCATCTCTCCTTTTAAAATTTCTATGCTGAAAGGAAATCGTGTTTAGCTGGGTAATGTTTTGCTGCCATCTAGAGTGCATATTTGTTTAACAGGTCTTTAGGAACGAGAATTTTTTCAAGCTGCTGAAGTATTTTCTAATTTATATTTTGATTACTATGTTCTTGTAAAGCCTTTCTTTTGGTGCTTGAATACAACAGGGAGACAAATAAAAGGTAGGCAAAATATAGGTCGCGGAAGTTAAATATTTGCAACTGCACTTTTCTCAACCTGACAGGTTGTTCTTGAAATTTCTGCTTTGAACCATCCGGGTTTGGTTTTGGCAAAGACAGTTGGTCACTAGCAGGAGCCACGCGTTGTCATGTGCAGAAGCTATAGCAGAAGTCCTGCTTCTGCATAAATTGCATGACCCTAAGTCTACATACCCTAGATACACTGAAGTGACCTATAAGAGTGTGAAGAGGGAGGGGAGGCATTATGTCACTTTTGTTGGTTGGCATTTTTTTTCAGTGAGTTATTTTTCTTCTTAATGAATTTGCTTCTTGGTGTGGGAAGGTGAAGTACAGCACATGCTTGAAAGTCATGGAGTTTTTAATGCTTCCAACATTCTACCAGAAATAAACAATCTGGATGAGCTTGGGTTTTGCTGGAAAACTCATTATGAACCTTGGTCCACATCTATTGTTAGATATTCTACAAGTGTCACAAAGATAAAGTTGTATTATTATTAACAGAAGTTAATCACAAACCTTTTAAATAGCTTCTTCAGGTGTGACTTTTCTGCTGTTAACTAAGTTTGTCTTTTAAACAGCAGCATGTTCTTCTAATATGTCAAACTTAAACTTTTTCCTTTTTTAATTTTTAAATCATGTCTAAGGAAAAATTGAACACAGAGCACCTTGAGTGAAAGAATCCAAGGCTATAGCTGCACCTTCTAGTCTCTTCCTTCATTCAAGGGTTCAGGGGACAAGTCATGGGGATGCTCCCCTTTCTTCCTGCTGCTGGTCCCAGGTGTACCTCTGAACTTGCTGGCTGCCCCCAGCATTTGACATCTTCCTTGTTTCATGGTCAGTGGGTCACGCTTGTGGCTTAGCACAAGGCATGAAGCGTATTTGCGGTGCAGTACCTGTCTGGCAGGCTGCTGTGCATAAGGCATTTTGTTCTGTTTTTCCTTAGCTGATGGTGGTATGTGACACTTGTTTTAGCAGGCAGGCCCCAAATACTCAAGTTCAAGTCCGGTGCCTTCACATGTGGCTCCTTGTTACACCGTCTATATCCTGTCAAGGCTTGCTTTAAGACCTGTTGCTGGAGTTTTGCTGCTCTCTGTCATCTGCTGGAGATCAGCTGTCTCAAGGTCCCTGCCAAAGGCACTGAATACTATTGCTGTGCAGGTCTTTATCTGCCCAGATTCTTCCATAAAGGCAGAGCTGAGAATTGCATTAAACTAATTCTCACATCATCCTGTGTTGAGGGAGCTCAGTGCTCTTGCCTGGTAGTCCCTATTACCCATATTCATAGAACAGACATGCATTTTCTTCCAAAATCCCACTAGCTCCTGATATGTACTGAAAGTTACCAAGACATGTCACGGGTCCAGCAGCTCCCTAACACTCTTCAGGACGTGTTTGAAGCTCCTGTGAGCATGGAGCAGCTTGGGACAGATGCCCTGGGAGTTGCTGTGGCTTTTCCAGTGGGAGGCATAGGCTTCGGGTGGCAAATCTCGTTAAAGATTGCGTGCATGTTAGGGATGTTTCGGGGGAGCAAGAAGGATTTCAGCTTTGTTGGAGGATAATTAACACTTCTGTTCTTATTTCTGTGGGACGTGTCATGCAGGCACACTTGTTCAGAAGACCTCACACTCTGGAATGCACAGGGGGTGCTCTTCTGTTGCTACAGCTGATGATGGGCATCACTTGGAAGATTGTGAAAAGACTGGTCTGCAGTACCAAAGAAGTGTTAGTGGTCACCTAGATGAGTTAACTGCTGCAGGCACAGCTGTTCCCAAGCTGATGTTTCGGAAGTGCCAGATGACTTGCTCTAGACAGAGAATAAGCACACCATCGTTGACTTACTGGGGAGCATTTGTCTGGATTAGCTTTTGCCACTGAGTAAATGCTAAGCTTTATGCCCAACATTCAGTGCTGCTGACAGTGGCTTTCCAAAACACTGAGGCTGCCAGGGGAAGCAATGGTAGACCAGTTCTCTTCCCTTCCTCCAGCTGCCTTAGTGTGCTTCAAAATAAGTCATTCTTTGGAATAGCAGCAAGGTGCTGTTAGTGGAGATTACCCTACTATCCAGACTGAGGGAGAAAGGGTAATAAAAGAAAGATGTTAGCTTCTTCCCATCTAAACTTAGAAGAAGGGGAGAGTTGGGAGCAATCAGGGATTCTTAATTTCTTATTGTTGTATGTACTTAATATTTTTATAATTTTATTTGACCTGAAGTGACATTTGAGAAGGCATTCAGCTTCCATTTATTTCAGGGTGTTTCAAGAACATATTGTCTAGATTTCTATCCAGTTTGAAACTTAATCTGTTTGTCTGTCAACTGTTACAGGGAAGGTATTTCAACACTTCGTTTAGATTTCAAAAATGGCAACCCAGAAACATTATTGTTGGTCTGTCTTGTAGTCAGTTGAATCATTACCAAAATAGTCAGTAAGTTACCTGGTCTCCATTTCAGGACTTCTACTGAGTGCCCTTCTTGACATGCTGTGATTTCGCTTCTTGGAAGGTTTTCCTGTGTCAGGATTCTAACTTCCCTAGTACCTATTTTGCTCTCAAGAGCTGTCTTTACTGATTTTATTTTATTTTTTCCTGTCTTCTTTTGTGCTTTGATTTCCTGCTTTCTGCCTGGTTTATATCTTTTGGGAGCTTTGTCTGCATCATCCCAATCAAGACTGACTGGGAATTTCCATGGGTGGAAGTATGAATACTGTTACATAATCAGCACCCTGTATTGACTTACGTTGCACACTACTAGAGAAGAAAAATTTGTCACATTTGGATTGGCACCAGTCTTCCTGTATGGACCTGAGTGTCAGGAATGAGAATGCAGTCAGGATGTTATTTTCACAGAAGCAAATGTGAATATTAGTGGCTTTTATGTTAATATTTTCTAAGTATTTTATTTGTGATTTTACAGTCTGTGTTGTTATCTGACATGTTAGCTCCTAGCTCTTGGTGAGAGCAATGAGATGCTGTCAAAGTCTTCTCCTGAGTGCAGTAATTTCTTTCTCTTTGGGTGTCAGCAAACCTATTTTTCAGTTATCAAAATTATTTATATAATACTCGTATTTCTGACTGGAAAGCTGTTACTGCAGTTCCTGGACTGATTTAATGATTTAAAACTTAATGGAAACCATATATACTTTGATCGTAGGCAAACAGCGCAGCTTGAGAAAGGGGTGAAATGCAGTAGTTGCAGTATTAAAGCTAATAATAGAAAAATTGCAAGTATGCCTTCACTGTAGTTACATGACAATACAGGCTTATTTTTTTGAATGCTGTTTTTAGAGTATGGATTATTATTGTAAAAGAGGCAGAAGAGGAAAGTGTGCTTTTCTGACTGGATTCTTTTGTGTTAACTTCGATGAAAACAATCCTTAAATGACAAATACTTTTTTCCCCCCCTAGTTCAAGTTAACAAGATTGCCATCTTAACATGTTTCTGTTTTCACAGATGAAGATGACGATGTTGATGGGTCAACACAGGGATCAGCAAAAGATGTCCAAATTTCAACAGATTCAAGTAAGCAGAATTTTAGTAAGTTGTGAATAGTCAAGTCTTTATTCATATGATCTTACCTTGCTTTGCCTTATGAAAAAATGTTAAATGGCTATTTTTCTAATGCTAAGTATCAATTCGATGTCCAAAGTTTTGCTCCAACACATTTATCCAGGGTCTTACAAGTATCTCATCACTGGTTGACATCACTTATTGACATAAGGGGCAATCTTTTTTTTTCACCCTGACAAATAGATAATTTCTCTCAACTTGGTAATGGAAGAAGGAAAGCATGGTGTTAACAATCCATAGATAAGTAACCAAATTAAAGGGCAGAGAGCATATCTTTTCAAAGATATTTTTTCTTTTAAGATAGCTGAATCGAAGTCTTATTGAAGACACCAGGTGAATTTTATTTTTTTGTTTTTTTGCTTGAGCATATTGCAGTAAAAGTATGTATACCTGTGCAAGAATATTGAGCCAGACTGGTTGCTTCTTATGCAGTTAAATTCTTATGAATGTGGGTATTTCTAGGATTTGTATTAGCCAAACTCTTACTTTTCAGAAGATGAAGCCAACAACATTTAAAGGCATCCTACCCTCTATATCCATATTAGTAGCTAGAAAAACATGAAACTTGCTACTGCATGGATTGTTGTAAAAATTGAAATTTCAAATCAGTAAATATGAGTTTTCCTTTTTTTTTAAAATCCTAAAATTCTTACAAAATTAACAGAATAATTGTGCAAAAGCTGTCTGGATTTTTTAAAAAATCCAGCTCAGTAAGTTATTAACCAAGTTATGGAAGTGATCTCAAGCATGCTCTTATTTCACATCTTAAAATTTGAAGCTGGTGTCTTAATGATTGTAAGTTATGATCTACCACCATGCTCCCTTATTATGGGACCAGGTTCTGACTAACTGCCATTTATCTAAGAAAACTGCACTTTTCCCAGTGTTTATAGTGACAGAAGAGGCTGAGTGTCAGGACTTTTATGCTTCACCAACTAAGGCTACTTCCCTTATTCAGGACTGTCGGAGAGAGCAAATTATGTGTCCAGGTATTTCAGCTGTATTGGTTGAAAGTACTAGTACAGGACAGTTGAGCTTTAGACAGCCTTCCCAAAAGAAGTAAAAAAAAGGTATGAAAATTGGAGGCAGGATACAAACTTTAGTATGTCTTTTGTTCATATACAGTGTCTGTCTGGACTAGAGGAAGCAGCAGTAGATAGTACATTTTCAAGTCTCATATAAAGAGTCATTACTTGTGTTTTAAATAGAACAGTGAAATAAATTTATTCCTCTTAATACGTTTTCATGAAACAGAAAGCTCAATAGTTAGGAAGTGATTCTAATGTCTCTTTAAAAGCAAAGTGTTCACACACACACACACACACAAAAGATATGTTTGACGGCTTTAGTTTAATGATCTTAGGGAACCCTAATAAATCTGGTACACCAATAGAGGTGAAGCTGGTGCAGCATCCTGTCCCCTATGTGTCTGAGTAGGAATAGTGGGAAGGTGTGTGTATACGCATATTCTGAGGCCTACATACACATGTGTGTGTGGCTGTGTGCATGTATGTGTGCGCACATACATGCACACACACCCCTTCCCCCCCTAGGTTTCTCAGTGGACCACCAGCCTCCATGGTCTTTCCAGCAGTTATCCTGGACCTCCTGGTCTCTCCAGTAGTCATCTCCACCAGCTGCCTCACTCAGACATGCATGAATACATGGCTCCCAACCTTGTGTCCCAGTGAGTCCAGCCTGATGTTTGCTGGTTGCTTGCACCATGGACACACGGGTCCTGCGGTCCCGCTTCAGTTGCTGCACTCAGGAACCCATATGTACACACGCATGCAGAAGAGTGGAAACCCCAACCACAAAAAGAGTTGGAAATAGCATTTAATGAGAAGACAGGACAGACTGTGCTCATCAGGTGCAGGGCATGGCCGGGCAGGCACACCAACCTCTTGATGTGTGACCAGCCTCTTCTGTCTCCTTATCCCTCTATTTACTTGTTCCTCCCCAAACCACCTGGATCCCCTTCCCCTGCCTTTGGTTCCTCCCCTAAACATCCCCTACCAACTCTTGTACAATACCAGAATGCTCTTCCCATCCATTTCACAAAGCCCCACACCCTGAGTGACCTCCGCAGTTGGTGGGGAGACCCACAGAGCTTCTCCTGACGGCTCACCCAGTGGGTGCCAGCCCTGGGCCATGGGGGCTGGAGCCCTTTCATCCAGGCAGGGCATGGCTTCTCTGATAACTTTCCTGACAATGTTATTGGGGTTCACCTGCCAGACGTTGTGCTTTTGTGCCTCTCTGTGTGGGGAGTCATAACCTATCAAATTAAACACGGCAGAGGTGCAGTTATAGCATGCTGAACCTCCTCCACATGTCTCTAGGTAACACCATTTGTGTAATATGGGCCAAGAGTGAGCTGCTCATTATCTTTTGTGTGTTGACTCGGTACATCGGCCCCATCTTTTGGGGTGTTACCATGCTACCCCTCAGGAGTGTCTGAACTGAATTATATTCCGTAATAGTGTAGCTTTTCTTAATTCCCATGCTCCACATTTTACAGATGCATATTTTTAAAAGCAGTGAAAACAAGTCAGAACAAATTGAATAATACTGACTTCTAAAGATGTACTTTACCACAAGAAAGAAACCAGTAAGAAAGGTTGCAAAGTCTGTAAATTAATACTGGAATAAAATTTGGATTAGTGGTCTGCATTCCACTCTCTTTCTTTGCTATTGTAGTAGGCTTGTTGAGTGAAGTGTAAAGTTAGAAGATTTAAATCTTAATTTTGGAAGCTTAAGTATGTTGTCAACCATGAAATTTACCCTACGAAGATACTGAGACCAAAAGCAAAAAATGACCATAAAACCAGCCCTACACTTTCTGAAATGATAGATTTAACAGACTTACAGAGCACAGTTGGTAAAGGACTATAAATCCTTGTGCCTGAGAACACAAGCCACCTTCTAAGAACTTGTCTACACGGTGAACAATTAACTTGAAGAGAACTGAATATTACAGGGATAGTAGGATAAATATCATGTGGATGCTCTCATTAGTGTAGTGAGTTGTATTGCCTGGGGAAGGAGTTGAGCCCCAAAGTCCATTTTCATACTAAAATAATTATTGATCATTCTGAGAATATATAACTGATCAGTAGTGAAAACAGTGACATGTCTATTCCAGGGAAGGCAAACACCTCTTCTTTACTACTTCCTGAAAACATAAAGAGGTTTTATGGAAAACCTTTTCAAGATTGAAAAAATCTTCCTGTAGTTCTGCAGCACCATTGCCAGAAGGCTATGGAGACACATTCACAGCTGTTATTAGGCAGTGTTAATTTATTCCCTGCCTTAGGAGTCCTTATGACAAGGCTTATCAGATGAAAAATTTAACTGTAGATACTTAGATATGACATGGAGATCCATGCTTTTTGGGTTGCTACTATGGTTATGCATTCTCTTTGCTTTAACATCCTGCTAGTCTTGAAGCTTGGGCAGTTTCTCCATCACAGCCCACAGGAGATGCGCACAGACACGTTTCAGGAGGTGTATTGAAAGCTCAGCAGGCCTCCTGGCTCTGTGTGTGTGCAACTCATTTGTCAGGCAGGGACATGAGCGAAGGGCACGGCTCTGACCTGGGAGTCTCTCTGCCCCGCGAGCGTGTCTCAGCGCTCACTGGCTGGATGTGAACTGTCTGCTTCAGCGTGTGCCCATCTTCTACAGGACAAAATGCAGCCATCAGGAGAAGATGGTCTCTGAAGGAAGTTTTAGAGGGGCTGCGGTGCTGTCAGTAAACGTACTTTTCACAGCATGTCCTTCCGCAGCCCCTTCTTTGCCAGGCAGTGCTCTACTCTGGTAGCTGTTCACCTGATGGGTAAGGGAGAGAAAATGTTCTTCTATTAGATAGACCCAAGTCATTGGCTTAGTGTTTGATTATGTCTTGTCCCACTGCTGACAGTGTGAAGGAGGCCTTCACTGTAATTCTGCAAGCAGGAACAAACTGTTTTCAGGAAGAAGCAAAGACAGCATGTGTGGATTTGAGGGATTTTACCTCTAAAGACACTTATGAAAATGTTCAGGCTTCGTAAAAAGGGTCATTGTACTCCACTAAAACAGCTTATAAATAAGTAAGCGTGTCACATGTTCCTCTGAAACATGATTTAAATGGATTTGGAGCCATAAAGCTGGAGGGAGAAGCAGGTGAAATCAGATCAAGTTGCATACATGTGGCAAATGCTTGGAGAAGTTCTAAAAACCACACTGGAAGAGAAGGGTGAAGAGGTGGCTACCACTATAGGATGATGGCTATTAATACAACTTAGTGCTTCAAAAGTGTCTTGGAAATAGAGAAATTGTAGGTGCCCATGAAAACAAGTTCAGAGAAGTGACACACTCACAAATGGCTCTCCTGGAAAAGGAACAGGAGAAGAAAGGAATAGTCTGGGATTCTGAAAGACTCTGTTCAAGACCAATAAAAGGAAAAATACACAATTCTTACTTGTTTTATTGCGGCCTTGTAGGTTGTGAATAGTAATACTGAAATAACCCAAAATTTGGCAGTCCACACTGTTATAATTTAAAGTAGGAGTCACTAGAGAAGGAGAGTAGAAAGCATGTGAATAGCACAAGTTTTGTTTGGAAGAATGGTTCTTGGTAAGCACTGTTGCTAGAATTCAGTCTTTTAAGAGTAAATTCCACTAGCAGGTTTGGTATAGGCTTCTAGCTTTCTTCCCCAGCAAAACCATGCAGGACTACATCGTTTTGCTATCTGCCACAAGCCACGCATAAGTCTTTAGCTGTGTCCTGTCTGTGGGGATAGTCAAAGGACATGAGCTTCAGACTCATCAAATGCTGTTAATCCTTTTCCCAGGAAAAGTTGGTATCTTAGCCTCTGAAATAAAATTCCATAGTTTGGTAAATTGTGCCTGGAGTTAACCTTTTTGTAGTTCTTTTCCCTTGAAAAGCATAACCATGAAGAACAGGTTTTTTCCAAC